GGTGAAGAATTTCAATATAGATAATAAGAGATACACAACCTTTTTCATCATGAAAATCGACTATTTTCTGTTTGAGACGTTTCGTCTTTATTCAAAAGACATCCTCAGTCAAATGTGACAGACGAAACCACTTTCGTCTGTCACATTTGACTGAGGATGTCTTTTGAATAAAGACGAAACGTCTCAAACAGAAAATAGTCGATTTTCATGATGAAAAAGCTTGTGTATCTCTTATTATCTATATTGAAGCATTTGGATATTACACTGGTTTGCAAAAAGACTTGGAACAATCTGGCAACACAAAGATTCATTTTTTTCTAGATTCTCTTGAGCCTTTGTTTTACTGTCATTGTAGATTCATACCTACTAGATTATCTACTAAAAATATTCATCTGTTGTATTAATTAATTTTTTGTCTTTATTTAATAATACCATGACATGACAAAGACTAACAGTCTGAAATCACATCATATTTCTGTATCACATTATTGGAACATAGGAATTCTTTCTGTCAGAAAAATCCACCGAGCTACGAAGATACCATTGTCTACAATTAGTTACCAGTTGAAAAAGCTCAAAACTCAAGGTTGTCTACAATATCGAGCGAGCAATGGTCGAAAACGTAAGATTGATGCCAAATGCAGTCAAGCCTTAGGTCAATTTATAAGGCGAAATAATGGAGTCACGTTGCACGAATTGGCTGAAAAACTACGTAATCAATGTCAATCGACTGTTTCCACCAGCACAATCTCACGTCATTTAAAAAGACTTCAATATGAAAATTGTTTACCATTAAAAACGCCAATGTTGACACCGGAACACAAAAAACGCCGAGTTGAATGGGCTAAAGCACATTTAAATAACAATTGGAAATCTACAATATTTACCGATGAATGTTCATTTCAATTGTTTAGAAATACAATTCGTCGCTGGTCAAAACAAACAAAAGAAGAAAAGAAAAGAATTCCAAAGAATAGACAAAAGGTTCATGTTTGGGGCTCCATCAGTTATTGTGGAACAGTTGGCTTCCATCCATTCCAACGTATTATGAACAGTGATTATTACATCGAAATATTAGAGAGCAACTTTCAATGCTAGAACAAATGCTAGAGCAATTTCAAATGCTAAACAAAAATTTAATAATAAATGGCGACTTCAACAAGATAATGATCCTAAGCACCGATGCCCAAAAACTCAGAAATGGTTGGCAGCAAATGTTCCACATGTTATGGACTCATCGAATAGTCCGGATCTGAATCCGTTTGCAAATCTTTGGAATACCATGAAACGTCGAATTGAAGAAAGAAAACCAACAAATATTAATGAGTTGAAAATTTTTATAAATGAAGAATGGATGAACATTGAAAAAGGTGTTATAATCAATTTGATAAACAGCATGAAAAATATCAATATCGTGCTCTTAGTTATTGAATCGAAGAGAGAACGAATCAAATATTGAACTGTATATTATAAGACTGTAAACTAATATGTATTAAATAAAAAAGCATTTTTTCGAAAGTGGTTGAACAAGACGTGGATACAGGCAAAATATTTGTTCCAAGTCTTTTTGCAAACCATTGTATATGTCCTATGCTTTTCATTTTTCAGTAAAAGCTGGAACCAATCTGGATACTGTTTTGAATAGCTCGAGAATTTTTCTATCAGATGAGGTGCATATCGCCATTTTATGAGAAAACTTGATAATAGGGTTTCTGGAAAACCTGGCCGCTAGAAAACTAAGTCTTTGGTTTTGATTAGAAAATTTTCGAAACCATATAGCTTATAGAGCGAAGAATTCTGCGAAAAGTAAGATATCGCCCGGCTGTCCATAACACTTTTCATCCACTGCAGTCGATTTACGAATGGCTTCAAAGGGGAGTGAAAATTACCAAAATATTCCATTGAAAAAGCGTTATGGACAGCTGGGAAATATCTTTCAATTCAATAACCAAATAAACCCTCTCATGTTGATCAGCATCATCGAAAACCATTCTTCTGAGTAATTTTTTGTTTTTCAGCGAAAAATGTCCCACGTGAAATTCGTCTTTTATAAGACTTCGGGTCTTTCAAGGAGACGAAATCTAGAAATTGCTTAGATACCAATGTGAAGAGGGCATGTCGGGGTGCAAACCTAGCTTAAAAAATTCCATCGAAAAGATTCAATAATTTGCCCTTAATTTCGTAGACGAAAACTGATCTGAAAAAGTACCTAGCAATATCACTTTTTCATGCTGACATGTGCCCCCGACTGTCGTCTATTGAATGGTGAAAGCCGCAGGTATCTACGACTTTCCATTCAAACGTTATAAGCTTTTCTTCCACCGGCCTTCTTTAAAAATTCCGATAGTAGAAATAAAGGCAAATATCAGACTTCTCTTCTATTGGAGCTAAGATAAAGCAAATTTGAGTTATCAACACAATGAAGCGGAACACTTTTTCATGTACAGTATTACTCAAAGGTTGCATTGTCTAAACATTATCATTTTAAAAGATTTAAAAAAGCCTAAAAGATTTTAGAGTAACATCAATAAATATCAACAAAGTATTTCTGAGTATTCGTCAAAGCTAGATCATCAGTGCATAAACTAACTACCCAGAGAGATGTCTAAATTCTCTGTAAGGTCTTCAAATATGCATCCCGAGCTTTAATCATTATTATAGTTGCTCTTCTTTATATAGACCGTTTTCTCTCCTGTAGGAATGATTCTTTTTAAGTTTCTTCTACCCTTTATTATCACTTTGTTAAAAGAACATTTATATAAAAATAAATTTAATTTAAATCTAACTGCTAGTGCCTATTTAACCCGATATAGCATCCGATTTGAGAATTTTATTTTTACTTCATTTTTTACCACAAATACTTGAAATGAATATAGTTGATAGTTGATTTCAAAACAATCGAAAAAGTACAAACAAGGTGTGATGAAATAAAAACCTGTAGCGAATAAATCCAAAGGTATCCTAATAGGAGATAATTGTCTCAATGTATGAAATAAATCCTTGTAATTGATTTTTCGACTTTTTATCATATACACTAAATAATTGATAATTGACTGTTGAGGACAAATGAATATCATTATCGGTTAATAGTTAATGAAATTCTTGATTAGTCCAATAGCGTAAAAAGTAAACAAAAGTATTAGTTTTTTATCTTGTCTGTCTTACAGTTTATGTTATACTGTTGAATCTTTGAATTTTATAAGTTTCAATGCTGAAAAAAGTATAGTGAAAATACTATACTTAACATAGCACTACTAAAAACAAACCTTTTCTGTTTTTGTCGTATGATAAAAATAATTGTATTAAATACTTTCAATCGTTTGGACTCTAGAAAAAAATACGGCTATTATATTATGACGAGGGCAAAAAAAATTAGTTATTTTTCTAGTTACTAATTAAATTTTAGCATTACTTACCCTCTTCAAATTGTTAATATTTAATATTAAAGTTTGATCTTGTTAATTTTGAAAAAGCATATATTTTAATGGTGTAATTCAATATAACATACAAATTTCTGTATTAAAAACATTTCGAAATTGTAAACCATAATCATCTTTAAATATTTAACATATTGACTGAACGCTAGCCGTCTATTCTTGTTCGTCGTCATGCCTTGTGTAAATAAATACTTTTTTCTTCATTTAGGTCATTTATTTCAGACATTTCTTGAAAAACGACTACACATGACGCCAGTAAGTCTTCCCTTTTTTCTCTGCAACAGTGTTCAGCGAATGCAGTTAAGATGTTAAATATTTAAAGGTGATTATGGTTTACAATTTCGAAATGTTTTTGATACAGAAATTTGTATGTTATATTGAATTACACAAAAATAAGTGATTCATTTTGTATGAGCAATTTTTTTCATATTAATATTGAAAAAGAAACGATGAAACGTTATGACTGGGGGCTTGAGGTACGGTACAATTTGACTAATGTAAATATATACTTTTTCATTACATGTGTCCAGTCTAATGCGACCCGCTCAATTTAGCTGAACGTGGTCGAGAACTATTTTTTAAAGAAGCAAATGATTTTGACTGTATTGTCACTACTGTGCGGTTGTGCACAAAAATGGATATTATAAAAAAAGTGAATGTTCATGCCGACATATACTGTCAATTGTGCATGCAGTTAGGTTATTATCAATTACATGATCGTGCAGCACCAACCTATGAAAGAGCCTCAACAAGACGTTATTGTAAGGGACGAACTGAAACATGTAGAACTTGCACATCAGAGGTAATACAGTGTGTTTAGTTAAAGTACTTTCTGGTTGCCCCCATCAAAAAAAAACCCAAACCTAATAATACTGACTAAATGAACTCTTTATAGAACGAAAATTGATTGTCGGTAAAGTTCTGTTTTCATTTATAAAACATTTTACAGAATTTACAATTCCAGACGCACTCTGTATATCTTTTAGATGCTTGTTTCTGCAAATTTGTCATTCTGTTTGAAGTCCTTAAAGGAGTTTCACCCTTTTAACCCATTAAGTGCTGCCCTAACAAGGCTTTTCCGCCATTTTATCAGAAATAGAGTTGCGACATGATTTTTTAGTGTGACCTGGTTTATTACAACGATTGCACATAAGAACTTTCGGTGGTGGCAAAAATTCGTATACATCGTAGAGATGTCCATGTAAGTTAATTTTTCCACTATTTAATAGACTATTATACTCACATTCACTTAGAATTTCCACTTTTACATGTCTCGTTTTGTCGTTTTTCGTGCCGTTCATATCTTCCACCGAATAAATAGATTCAAATTTAATTTTCAGTTCGCTCTCAATGTCATCTGTTGTACATGATAGTGATACCCATTTTAGAATAACTGTATGCTGTGGTGGTAAATGAGCAGGAGGAAAAGAAAATATTTTTATTCCATCAACTTCTTTTGACCATCTGTCTTTTTTGCATAGGTAAACATAAATTTCAGTCGTTTGTATAACAATATGAAGATGATCATCAGTATCAATCCACCATAAATCAAATAAAATTGATTGTCTAAAATTTGTATTTTGAATTGGAATTAATAAAAATCCTAGAATTTTGTTGTCTATCATAATAACTGTCATCTTGGTAGCCATCGTTTGTCGCATGTCTTTTTAGAGATTTAGTTTGTTGTAGTTGATTTGTCTGTGTATTCACTGGTATAGAAATTACTCTACCGTCCACCATACGATCCTTTTCTTGAGCTGTCATGTTGTTAAATCGATTATATTCATTCATTGTTAAATTTCGTACTTGATAACCTTTATAAAATTATACGTTGCTTCAAGAACATTGACAGAACGAAAGAATTTTGTATTTTTGTACATGTGATATAGTGGCGAGAAAGGAAGGAAAGTTTAAGTGTGTAGATAAGTGCAGAGAGGTCTTTACTGTACTGCGAAAAAGAAGAAAAAGCTTAAATACTATCGTTGGCTATGCTCAAAAGGTCATTTTTAACAGTATTATGGCAAAAACGTGGTTGTTCGCAGTGTACATAACAACTGAGCAATAGACAGTTTTGTTCGCCGTTTAAAGCTACATCGAATGGTATATAAGACTTTCCTTCAAACTTGTTGGGTTCTGAGAAAATTACGAAAAACACCTCGGAATGGGCTCGCGGAGCTATTGTTCAAAGTTGATCGATTTTCTGACAGATATGAGGCCCGAAGGGGAACCAACGATGAAGAACCCCTTAAAATTGTATGCTCTTTTATTCTAGATACCTTTCGAGAAAATCTGAAATGGGACCGATCCTCGTTCTTATTGCACCCCGTCCCTTCATTACAAACTATGGCTTTTTATTAGATTTTCCACTGACAATAATGACATTTTCATTGCTATTAAACCTAGTTTTGAAAAACAACTTTTTCATACTTAAAGGCCATTACTTTAATCAAATTAAAGGTACTGCTATGGGCACTGCGTGCGCACCACCGTATGCGAACATTTATGTATTTTGTAAAGAAATATTAGCATTGAATGCATTCATGAAGAAATATTCGTCGTCAATTTTTCTTCGTTACTTTCGTTTTCTTGATGATATTTTCACATTATTAATGTGCAATGATATTTCAATTGTAAATGAATTATTATCCATCCTTAACAGCACTGACATTTTTAAATACACATTTGAAACTAGCCAAAGCAACGTACATTTTCTAGATGTTTATATTTCTATTAACAGAACTTTAAATCGTTTAGAAACTTCACTGTTTAAAAAACCATCAAAGACGTTTCAATACTTACAATTTTCATCGTCTCATCCTCGTCACATCATCAATAACATTCCATTGAGTCTAGCGAACAGAATATTACGTATATCGTCTGCTGACACATCAAAATGGAATGAATGTTATAATTTACTCGTTCGTTTAACTAACCGCGGTCGTCATCCTACCAACATCCTGCAAAAATTCTACAGACAAGATTGTACAATCGTACAAAATTAATTCATCGAAACAAAAAATTGAATGAAAAAGATTTCAACAATATCATCATACCTTTTCACACTCAACTTCCTTCGCTCCGCTACCTTCTTCAAAATGAATTTAAAACGACTCTGCCACAAAATCATTGCATCGTCTACACATGTGAAGCAAATTTATCACGTATTTTAACCCGTTCGAAATATCCACCTTCATTTATTGACGTAGTTCCACCACCAGACATTCAACCACAAGGATGTTATTCATGTAAGTCAAGCAGATGTACAACCTGTCATTATTTGATTGAAGAAAAATGGTTTATTCATCCTCCACTAATCAGATTTTCAACATTCCATTCGGCGTGTGTTGTACAAGCTCAAATTTATGCTATTTAATCACCTGTGCATTATGCCCTGCACAATATGTTGGATCTACAGGTACTGATTTGAGAAAAAGATTTAATCATCATTTAACATCTATTCGTCACCTATATGTCGATGATACAAACTGCGTCAAACATTTTACTTTACCGAATCATTCATTAAAAAATATTAAAATCATTATCATCGAAACCAGCTTTATCAACGAACGTCATCGACTAGATCGAGAAAAATATTGGACTCACACATTAAAACCATTCATAAACGAAGATAATTGAACTCTTCTTAAACTCCTTAGGTTGCTCTTTCTCGCTAAGATCTTTCCATGCAGGATTGGGTGGACGGGCATGAGGGATCGAGAGAGAGGTAGAGGATTTTTGAATTCTAAAATATATTTTAATCAATGACTTTATTTCATCCAATTTTATTAGCAGTCCTTTCCTCTTGCTTCTTATTCAAAAGAAGAAAAGAGAAGAATGCCAAATATGAACTATATAGTCAAGTACATTTCTTTAAATAGATACATCATACAGACATTCATGTCATCTATTTTATTATCAGTCCAAAAGAAAAAAGGAAAACAAGGTACTATAGTCAAGTCATTTCCATTACCTTTCTTTTTTA